CAAAAAAATATGGTCATATCACGCGAATGAGAACTTCTATCGTCTTTATGATTATTATTATCCTTGTCATAAAATCCAACCAAAAACTACTGTCCTATCACGTGAATGAGAACTTTTATCGTCTTTGTGATTATTATTATTCTTGTCATATATTTATATCACCCTCATTTACATAACCCCGACAAAAGAAATATGGTCCTATCACGCGAATGAGAACTTCTATCGTCTTTGTGATTATTATTATCCTTGTCATAAAATCCAACCAAAAACTACTGTCCTATAACGTGAATAATACATGTAAGTTCTCTCGCATTTGTGATAATTATTATCTTTGTCTTATATTTATATCACCCTCATTTACATAACCCCGACAAAAGAAATATGGTCCTATCACGCGAATGAGGACTCTTATCGTCTTTATGATTAGTATTATCCTTGTCATAAAATCCAACCAAAAACTACTGTCCTATCACGTGAATAATAAGTTCTCTCGCATTTGTGATAATTATTATCTTTGTAATATATTTATATCACCCTCATTTACATAACCCCGACAAAAGAAATATGGTCCTATCACGCAAATGAGAACTCTTATCGTCTTTGTGATTATTATTATCCTTGTCATAAACTCCAACCAAAAACTATACTGTCCTATCACGCGAATGAGAACTTCTATCGTCTTTATGATTAGTATTATCCCTGTCATAAAATCCAACCAAAAACTACTGTCCTATCAAGTGAATAAGAAGTTCTCTCGCATTTGTGATAATTATTATTTATTTATTTATTTATTTATTTCTGATCTTTATCTTTATTTCTGATTATTTATCTTTGTCTTATATTTATATCACCCTCATTTACATAACCCCGACAAAAGAAATATGGTCCTATCACGCGAATGAGGACTTCTATCGTCTTTGTGATTATTATTATTCTTGTCATATATTTATATCACCCTCATTTACATAACCCGACAAAAGAAATATGGTCCTATCACGCAAATGAGAACTCTTATCGTCTTTGTGATTATTATTATTCTTGTCATAAACTCCAACCAAAAACTACTGTCCTATCACGTGAATGAGAATTTCTCTCGTTATTGTGATTATTATTATCTTTGTCATATATTTATATCATCCTCATCTATATCACCCTAAACAAAAATAATATGGTCCTATATCACGCGAATGAGAACTTCTAGAGAGAGAAAGTTGGAGCGAAAGAAAGATGAAGGGTTGATATCATTGACCTACTATGGTGATAGTAAGTGAGAGAGAGACAGTCATCAGACAGACGGTCACAGACCGACAGAGAGAGAGAGAGACTAACAAGTGATATGGATATAGAAATATGATACAGAAGGGGATGAACGAGGTGATGCGATGAGAGGGAGAGAGAGAGAGACAGATCATATATATACAATATACATCAAAAGAGAAATATATAGAGAAAGAGTAGAATGGTATGGGGTAGAGAAATAAAGCGAGAGGGAAAGAAAATGGGAGAAATAAAGATAGCGAGAGAGAAGAGAGAGAGAGAGAGAGAGAGAGAGAAAGGAGAGAAGGGATAGAGAGGGATACAAAAGAGAGATACAAAAGAGAGAGAGGAGGAGATGAGAGGGATATAGAAGCGACAGAGAGAGTGAGAGAGAGAATTTCAAGTGAGAGTGTTATAACATGGACCTGGTTATGAGACGGGAGGCGAAGGATATAATTCAATTATACGGAAAGAGAGAGATTAGCCCAAACCATAGTCCAAACACGTGTAGCAATTACTGACCTCTACCAGAGGTCATTTGGCAGGATAAAAAAAGCGTACTCGTAAACTTACCAAGCTTTAAGGGATGATCTAAAAATAAGAATGTGCAGTATACACATGATCGACTATTATTGATTAATCTTCGTTTGTAAGATTAAACGTATCTTCCTTATTTTTAATAAAGAAATGCAAAATAAATAATGTTACGTTCTGTCTATAAATGATTACCCAAACTGTCCCTGTACAACGACTTTGGGGAGTATTTTGAGATCATCCCTAAAAAAATGTGCTACGAAATTCTTCGGGCCAATCCGGCACATAGACTAATACACGTACACACGTAACATGTACTATACGTAGGCCTAATACACATGCACAGGGATCAATGCCAGATCATTGCAGTTCATCACGACCACTTGACTGACTTGACCAAAATACAGGCAATGTGTGCGTTCGTTCACAGAGCTGACGAACAACAATATTATCAAAGTCGAGCCATAACAAATGCATTTCAAAGTTGAAAACACAGAAACGATTAAGAGAGGGAAATGGAAAAATGAGTTGAAGAGAACAACACAGAATATTCCGGCCCGCACAGGAAATACATAGACTAACGTACGTAAGTACAGTAAAGATGGCGGCGGTCCGATCGATTACAAAAATTTATATTGCGATTACAGTGTACAGACAAGTGTTTTTTTTCTTCAAATTTGGGAGACAGTATGAAAATCTTACACTAAGGCAACTCGACTTTAAAATAATTATCTTCATGATTATATATATTGTTTAAGTCTGGTAATATGATTTGGTGTCAAAACATGTTAATTACTACACTTTGACAATAGTGCTATATATGTGTTATGCTGTTCAGATGACATGTAAATTTTCGAACTGAGAGGGAGCTATACCAAATTTACCGGGAGTACCGGTAAATTTTTTTATTTTTTAAAATTTTAATTACTCCAAATCAAAAGCTTTTTAGAGCCCAATTTTTTTTAGAGTTGGGTGTTCTAACACTATGTTTCACAATAGTAATGCAAATTTTAAATTTCATGATCCAATCCTGATGAAATATTCCCAAAACTTTGTAATACCTTTAATATAACGTGTCTTTAATGTTGAGTGTTCTACAGTGTACATGGGCCTTTAATGTCATAGACATCTGTTTGGATCAGATGTTGTACTAATGTTGTTGAAATTTCACATTGCAGAAATCGTTAAGGAAAAGTTTAAACAAAAATTATGTGTGAAAACTAACACTGTCATTGTACCAACAAATAGGGCAGCTGGCAGACAAACATGTGTATACGTGTACATGTCTGTATACGTGTACATGTATGCACTGTCCAGGCCGACGCTTAGCCGTGCAACAATCAAGGCTCATGTTAAACATTTTAAAACAGGAACATTCTAGCAGACCGCATACCCTCAGAAGTTGTCAAAATGGTGACTGAGACCAACATCTCGGTCTCAGGCTTTATCTCTTGGGCCTTTGGTAGCATGTATTGTACAGTGTACATGTATGTTCATCGCTATACCTTCAGGCTCAGATAACTTTTCAGAAGAAAAGGCCAAGAAAAGAGAGACAGGCTGGAGAAAGATTTAACTCCTCTGGTATTTTAATTAGGGCTGCGACGAGTATAGTCAAATGCTCGAGTACGATTTCTCGTACTCGAATATTCAGCCGCAAAAACAATATAAAAAAATCCCGGTCACTTGGCACTGTCCCGGCCGACGCTTAGCCGTGCAAGAGAGAGCGGAGGCCGCTGGCATGGTACCGTCGGTAAAAATGTTTCCCAACTCAAGCACTGTCAAACTCACCACTTAGAAACTGGGACCAAATGTCCGGATTTCTGTTTGGACTCGGAGGAAAAGTGGATTATTCTGCCAGCTTTGGTTTTTAATACAGCATTGTTTACTGTTATTATTATTATTAAATCGACGCCTTCAACTGCAACTCGAAGTAAAATTGCATGCGTTTTCGGCGACGGACTAGGGATACTGCTCCAGTGGTGTCGTGGTGGCAAAAAAATAAATAAATAAAAAAATTATTAAAAAAATACAAAAAAATAATGAAAAATTATAAAAAAACATGGCGTCCAAATATTCGAGTATTCGCTTGTAAGCCTGGGAGTATACTCTGGTACCTCATTACACTGTTGTGCACAGCCTTAATTTTAATAAGCAGCTATGGAATCATGTACATATATTTACATGCCAAAATAAATACAAAACCAGTAATTTAAACATGATAATAATAATGCATTAGAAAACAAATGCATATAAAGTTTATATTTCATTTTTTATTTCCACATATTTATATTTCAAAGCCAGGCTTGACAAATTTTCACCCTTGGCTTTGGGAACATAAGATTCAAGTAACATTGAAGCAATGACATTGACAATGTGCACATTACCCACTTGAACACTGACACACATCATGAGATTGAATTATTCGAGAACTACAAGAAGGAAGCTGAACTCGGATTAGGCAGATAGAGCTGGAAACTCAACTGCAGATCTCTGCATTTTTCCAGTTTATCCGGTAATAGGTAATGTCAAACAAGGCTATGCTGCATGGTGGCGTTTTAAATCAAAGTTTGTACCTCAAAAATGGTCAATTCAAAATAAGTTTATAAAATCACAGAGTATTAATTAACGTGTCCAACATATTTTCAACACTGATGAATAGACTCATCGACTATGATTATGAATATGATCAGCAAATAACCACATAACACTCAACATGCTCATGTCACCACTCTTGTCTCACTCTCAGGATTAAATAACGTTTGTTGTCATTGTGCCCCCCCCCCCTCCTCCACTCCGGGAACGGAAGGACCGCATTCATCATTTTATGTTCCAAAAAATGTCCGGTAAAGACTAGATCTAGACTAAAAGTAAAGGGGTACTTTTCACGCAACAAAGTCAGGCTCGTAACATACACAAAATCAGCCCTTATTGACTTTACACACCGGACTTAGGTGGTGCTTTCAAAGGGAGGGAACATGCATATATGCGTACCCTAAATAACACTGAGGCAGTGAGGGAGGGGGGGGGGGGGCGGGCATTGTGGACATTGATTGAGTTGACATGGCAGGCCAAAGCCAAGGCAAGGCCAAGGGCCAGGCAATGACTGAGTCTGAGAGTGAGTGAGACACACAGACAAACACAACAATTAACAAAGAAACATCACTAAGAATAAGATAGTGCCACAGTTATTATAACAATACATGACTTACATGAGTCCAGTGTATGTCTGCAATGCAAAGGCAGCAGGTACACCAGGCATTAGACTATATAGATTCTATATGAAAATAAGTCCAGCTAAGCCTACTAAGTTTCAATGTTGGGTCAGCAGCAGACGAGCTAGACATAACAAAGACAAATGGACGACATGACTTTGATTTAGGTTAACGTATCAGGTACAAAGTATTTATAAAATCTTGATTCTTAGTTTTATTCAATATTAGCTCATATTTGGCATGATAATTTATCTAATATGGCTTAGGTTGTAAACATGATCTTTCTTTTAAAGTATCATAGTGAAAAACGTATTAAGAATATAAAATCTCCACAGCACTATTACAAAAAGCCCCTCTCTTTTCTTATTGGAATCGTCCAAATCACAAACGATGAAGAAAATGGCGTCGAATCCTTACGGCCACGGGTCATCACCAATGCCTTCAAACATGCCTCAACAAAGATTTGGACCACAACCAGGACCAGGAATGAGACAATATCCACCTTCTAACTTCCCTGTAAGTTCACATATATTTTATGTTCTCCAAAATTGCAAAATAACCTACCAGTATTGATCAGTTGATTGCGTTTCCTTTTGTTGCAGAACAATGAATACAGTCCCATTTGTTAAAAACTGTGTTAGTACTACTGGGAATAGGATTACAGGAAAACACAAATGCGCGCACTTTCAAACTCGAGCTCGAGGTGATGCCCGATTCGGGAAGCATGTTACCTGTTGATGCTTAATTGCTAAGCTAAACATGCATAAATCAGATGCAGGGTGTCTCCAGTGTTGTTTATGTAGTCATGGTTGTTGATGATGTTGTTTTGTTTTTGTTTTTGTTTGTTTTGTGCTGCGGCCCCAATCTTTCGATTTCTCAGGTTCTTGATTTGCTGATGGTGCATGGACATGGTGAATTGGTGATCATCGACATCGGCATCCGCAGTCTATGAATTATATCAGGAAGATTAGAGACTAGACTAGCGTATGGTCGTACTAGTAATAGGCAATAGGGGCACTGGTCCGATAATAAGGATCGTCTTTGTAAACGCGGACGGATGCGACCTAAAAAAAAGTGATCGTCCGCATTTTCACTGATGATTCTTATTTCTGATCCGCACGTTGGCAATGCGAAAACGGATGCTCCTTGATGCATTTCACACACACATATATATATATATATATATATATATATATGCTCTTAAACAAGAAACAGGGTGGGCAAATATAAGCTTGAAGTCTTAAAAATATGAGGCTTTTTTGCTCTATTGTTTTTGTTTGCTTTATTCTTATTTTTTTATATTGCTCTTGTTTTTGTTTATCGCTACAATGATACCGATGCAGGCAATGAAAAGTGTGGTTACACAAATCACATGATGACATGTATATACATGCATGTCAGGTGACATCCCAAATTGTCTTTCTTTTTTTTTCATGGTACCGAGCAGAGTGCTTCCCATCATTAATTATTCAATGATAAGTTTTTGTGAAAAGGTATACTCCGTTTCATTTGTTTTTCAAGTCCCATGGGAATTGTAGGATACCGGTACACATATTAACTGCCATCCTAGCCTTTTCTAAATCTTAGTCATTGACTTTGAGCTGAGGTGTTTGTAAGCAATTTCTTCTTGCAGACTTAGAAACATTCATCTCTCAAGAGCTTTTGTTGACAATAACTTGTGGGTAGTGACCTGGGATTAAATACTGCCTCATTTTCTGAGCAAAATAATATTTTTGGATTGGTATATAATATATTTGCAATTACTAATTATGCAGGAAACCTTCACCTCAACATCATCATTTTAATCAAGTTTTCATGAGACTGCTTTTTCACCCTATGAAAGAAAGTTGTAATTTGATTGTTCTTGTTTCAGGATCAACTTATCTTTTCAAAATCATTTTTTATAGACATGGACATGTTGTGAAGAGAGAGAGAGAGAGAGAGAGAGAGAGAGAGAGAGAGAGAGAGAGAGAGAGAGAGAGAGAGAGAGAGGAGAGAGAAGGAACAGAGATAGAGGAAGAGGAACAGAGATAGAAAGAGAGAGAGAGAGAGAGAGAGAGAGAGAGAGAGAGAGAGAGAGAGAGAGATTGATAAGGAAAAAGAAGGGAGCAGTGTTTGTGTTTTACACTGCTGTTAGCTTGCTTTGCAAATGATATGTGCAGAGCAGGAATTCGAAAAATTTACTTTTGATTGAACACTGCAGATAATTATCTTTTGAAACTACTGGTTTCATGATACCATAAACAGTGCTCCTACACAAAGATATGGAGTTTATTAAACTGATATGTAGTATATTTTGATTTTGTGCTGGTGTTTACCAAGGTGAAAGGAGACATAAACATCATTATTATTGAATGTAACCTGAAAATCTTTATTTAGAGCATAATCTTGGTATTTGAATTTTTCACTATTTATTTACAGAAATAAAATGATGAAACTGATATTGTGAATATATAGTATATACCAGTGTACTGTTCAAAATATATGTCATGAATTTTGACCAATCAATCAATTATTTAACTTTTATGATAGTACATGTACTTAACAAGTTTAGGACTACTGATGTACAAGGGACATGGGACAATGGAAATGGAATACAAGTTATGAATTTGCAGAAGCATTATAACTCTGTCTGTCTGTCTGTTTGTCTCTATCTCTCTCCCTCTGTCTGTCTGTCTGTTTGTCTCTATCTCTCTCCCTCTCTTTCTCTTTCTCTTTTTTTTCTAATCATTTTCTCACTTGACACTTTACTATTAATCTTGTATCTATCACATATTAAAACATTGGGAAGAGTAAGAGAAGGATTTAGCATAAAAGACAATGATGAGAGAGAGAGAGCTCTAGAGAGGAAAAGAGAGACTCACACTACATAAAAAGACAATATACCTAAATTCTTCATTTGTCAATTTTCACATAATTTATTATTATTGTTATGAGCACGTACATGTAAGTATGCATGATTGATACAATCATGCATTCTCAATATTTCAGCAGGAATGTCAATTTACATACAAACAAAATATTATGTTTTTCTTCAAAAACCTTTCAAACGCAGGAAGTTTATATTTGCCCTTTCCCACTTCTCCTTTATTAAAGTTACATGTTACATTTAGGAAGATGAATCAATATGCAGTGAGAGATATTTAAAAGTATGTGATTTCTTCCCCCCTCACTCTCTGCCCTCTTGAATCACAAAGGAGAGCACTAAAACTGCAACGACAACCTCATCGAGCTCGTCCCATTCGACTGCCGGATCGTCTTCGAGCAAACAGGTACCGAAAAAAATCCCAGCGTGCCTAGCCTCTTCGAAAGAAGCCCACAAATCTTATCCCTGTATGTCCGCAGCTGTATGTCCGCATCCCAAAGTGCATTTGTGCATGCGCTGTTGCTCATTTCTACGATAAAAAATTTGTGTTCTGTTTTTCTCCTCTCCTCAATCAATGCAGTGGCATGATTCACCGAATGACGAATGGCCATTGACACAAGACTATCTTTGTATTTGAGCTGTGACGCAGTAGAAGTAGTTTCGTTAGCAAAACTTCAAAATCCCACAAACCTGCTTTTTTTTCAGTTTGTTATCCCAACCCACTTTCTCCTCTAGCAAAAATTTCTGTTGCCAAAAAAAAAAGTTTCTGAAATTACAATGATGCACCCGTGTTTATGTCTTATCCATATGAATTGTATACAAATGTAGATTCCTCTAGTATGAATGTGAACATAACAGTTGTGTTCTAACCTTTTTCTGAATGTACTTTACTTTAAGCCTTTTACTGTGGAGTGTAAACATACCCTTGTCTTGAGAGTGCACCATGACATGCACCTTGTCATAGACATTTTAAACTTCAACATCACACGAGTTCACATGCCCTTTTCAGCTGGTTAGTTTACTTTATCTTATCTTTTGTTTTGTTAGGATGAATATCATTGTTTACAAAGCACATCCTAGGGACCCCTAGAATTTGTGTATTTGTACATTGACATGAGTCTGTGCTACATATTTTGACAACACAGATTTTGTCTTCTGGTACTAGTACATGTATGCACATCAGTATTTTAGTCACCTTGAAATTATCTCTACCATTAAAGTATTATATTTGAAATAATCACTTTACAATTTTAGATTTAAATGTGTTACTTTGTGTTCACATTGTTGTTTACATGTAAGTCACATCAATTACAATACACATTTTAAACACATAGATGCATAGCTACGAAATTTGTTCACTGCAGCAGTTGTCAACATTTAGGATCATTATTACAAATTATTATCTGGCAATATAAATAACTTACAATATAGAAAGATTACAAATTGAAATCTCTATTTGTAAAGGATGAAGTTATTTGAAACGATTCAGTACGTAGCTGAGTTCCCATGTAAAATTTGCATTTGCCTTGATGTTTATTCGCTATAAATGTTTATTTACATGTTTTAAAAAAAATGAATTGTTCTCTCAGGGATGATAAGATTATTTTAAATATAATTCAAATGCTATGTACAGTGCAGCAAGATTTCAAAGAAGCATACTTCCAAAGATGATGTGACCCCAGCTTGTGGAGTATCTTCTCTCTGTGTGTATCTTCTCTTAAGCTTTCTTTATTTCAGCTGCGTTTAAATAACAAATATTCTTTAGTGCATTTGATTGTACGTATCTGCAGCCATCGTAGTATAGATATCAGAATTTTAAAAACAAATTATGAATTATTACGCTATCACAGAGCCATTTCCTTTACAGCAATGAATTCTTTTGTTCAACATGTTCAATATAATGTATGTTGCAACATACCAATAGAATATTTAGATATTTACAACCATGCTATACATTTGTACAGTATATACATGTAGTACAATATATATTGCAAGGCAAGATATACATATATTTCATTTACATTATATAAAGCAATAAATAGATTAATATGATGATTATCATCATGAAGCACAACATTTCAGAAACTTTTGTGCGAATAGTTAGCTCTTGCATTTTTTGTGTTAATCAAATCAAGCAAGAAGAGTGCAAATGGAGGGGTACTTGTAATGATATACCTCTGACTGCCATGAAATGATTTGTTTGCTTATCTCATACAGTACTTGAATACATATTTATGAAATTTGAACGAGCTATCGCTACGATATTTCCATGATCATATTACAATCTTACAAGAATACGCTCTACGTCATGAAATATTGAAAGCATAATCAGTTAATCACTCAGCAATGTAAGTTTGATTTTTCTCTCTGCATCTTCATTACGAGCGCATGCTGTCACGTCGTGTAACCACTATATCGTACTGCTTAGGCACCAAATCAAAGTGGACCTCCGGTTCCAGGGTAGGCTGCTTCGCCCCCTCACCGGTAGGTACGGCAATGTTCAGTTTCTGGAGCAGACAGGCTGAGAGGACAATGATCCCTGACTTGCCGATGTTCTTGCCCAGACACGCCCTTCTGCCGGTGGAGAAGGGCATGAAGTGGGGGAAGTCCTTCATGTTGCGAAGCTGGCCGTTGTCGTTGAGGAAACGCTCGGGCCGGAACTCGGAGGGGTTGTCCCAGGTAGTTTCATCGTGGTTGATTGCCCAGAAGTTAGCCAATACTTGTGTGCCTGGAGAAGGAGATAAAATAAAATCCTTGAATTATTGAGCTGCATCATTTCAAGAAAATCATTGAGAGTGCAAGAAATAAGTTCTTAATATGTCATTGTCTATTAAAAACCAGAAGGGTGTCAATATTTAGTAAGTGGATTTCTGAATAAAGAAAAAAAGAGAAGAGATGTCAAGAGATAAAAGCTTATCTATCTAGATATTTTTTCATATTTACATCCAACTTTTTTATGAGGGTAATCACCTTGCATGCACTGGCAAGTATGAAGAATAAAGTGAAAATGATATAGTCATGGTAGAAAGATATAAAAACGAAGCTTACCTGCAGGGATGTGGTAGCCATTAAGGGTTGTATCACATACAGCAGCATGGGGAACACCAAGAAGGGACAGACAACTGAAGCGAAGTGTCTCGTAGAAAGTAGCACCTGTGAGCAAAATAAAAGAAGTTTGAGATTAATAATTTAGAAATTTTTATGCTTCCATATCCTAGGCAAAATTACTTGAGCAAACCTACTTCAGGTTTTTGCCAAAATTCAATATCCCTGTTGTCTTTACCAATACTCTTTAATTTTTTCAAACAAGCATTTGATGCTTTGGTTGTGTTTAGTAATTGGTTTGATGAAATGAGAAATAGTTTAATGATAATACTCTATGTAATTACTTGAAGACTGTTTTTCATTCAACTAGTTGTAGATAAGGATAGCTAGAGTAACAACTTACATAGATAGGGTAGTGTCTGCTCGTCTTCCAGGCACGGGGTTCGGTCACCGATCACTCGATCAATCTCCTCTTGAACCTTCCTCTGTACTTCTGGGAAGACAGCCATGTAGAGAAGCACCCAGAGTAAGGCATTGTGGATAGTGTCTGTGCCTGAAAGATTATAAATAAGAAAATAGGTTATTAATCAATAATGAATAATAGAATAATAAATACAAATTATTAAGAATTCTTGAAATTTTATCTTTAAGCAAGACTTATGTGATATGTTGTATGAAAAAGATGCCAACATGTATGTACATAAAGATCAAGATTATCTCAATTATGAATAGGCACATGTGTGATTACAATGGATTTGATTGCTAGAATACTTTTAATAATTTTGATAAATAGGTTTTCATTGAAACATAGCAGGGAAGATTGAAGAGCTGGTATTTAGGATATTCCCCATCCTACTCTCCTCACGCAGTCAGGAAAAAAAATTGCTTGTTGAAATGCATCAATTTTCTTCCGGCTCTTCCAAAAAGATTGATCATGCTCATTATTCCTCCCACATCAAAGAGTGGGCCTACCCATTTGGGAAACATTCAACTCTTTTTTTCGAGCTTGGTTTTTTGCGGATCACGTGTTTCGTCTATTTTTCGGGGAAATATTTTGTGTATTTTCCCCCCAAAAGGTGAAGCAATCGAGACAAGAGGGCAATGATAACTGTGTCAAGCTCTGGAGGGGGTGGAATGAGAAGGCAAAGAATTGGGGTAAATGGAGTGGATATTTATAGAGAAGGTTCCCTACTCTCTCCCTCTAGCCATTTGCGCCAGACGTTCTGTGCCCAAGCAATTTGTGAGGCTAATCCCTCCCTCAAGTCTGGGTGCTGTTTTCGTAAGGTCTCCCCTACCCAGGGACCAGTTGGGGGAAAAGAAAGTGTTTGTTTTGCGACTTTGAAAGATTGATTTAATGGTTCAGGAGTTAGAAATTTCAAGTGCATTCAGAGAGTGATCTTTTTGGGTCAATGTTAGGTTTTCGTACTTTCAGACTCGGATCCATTGCAATAACTATTCTATACCAGAAATGTAGCAAAAAAGGTTAAATGATATTAAAGTGCATTGCTACAACCACAAAAGTAGGAGTAGTGTAAATGAAACATTTATTGAATTGTTTTGTAAAAAAATTATTTAGATACTTATTAAAACTACAATGAAAGTTTGATATGAAGAAATTAAACATTAATTTTGTGCATACATGTATATAAGAAACACAGTGTTGAGCAAGTAAAGTTAAAGTAGCAGAAATATTTGTTTGCAAAGACATGTTTTCCAAGGGCCTTCTATCATATAAAATGTTTAAATTTGTTTTCCCCTTATGACAAAAGTCATTTTTTCTATTTTTATTGAATGTCATACATGTACCCGTAGTTGGTTTTATTTCTACTTTTTTAAAGTTTCACTCTTATTTCTGACATGGAGAAAAAAAGTTGTTGATTCAGAAGTTCTGATGATGATCACTTCCTCAGTATTTTAAGGGCACTTTTGAAATAACCCGAGGCACAGTGGCTAATCCTAGCAATTACAGAAAATGGTTACAAAAATAATCATGCCACGCAGAGTGGGAGGATCAAGTTCACATTACGCAGTCAGTGCACTTGTCATGGCGGGAACGACGACTCCAAAAACATTGTTGCCCCTCTTGGGCGAGTTATTTCTTTCTTTTTTCAGATTGTATCAGTTTGTGTTTCGTGCACTGAGAAAAGTTCGTACCAAGGTCAATGATCCCTGGTATTTTGGAATAGCTATGCAACTTTGGCAAATTCCAGATTTAGCTTTTTTTTCTTCCGCCCTAAAGCTTTTAAGTGATTCTAGGGATGTTTGAATGCATCATATGAATTGAATTTATGTATATTTATTATTGAAAAAATAGAATTACCATTAAGGCTTTTGAATTTGATCACTAGGGTCTGAAAAGCTTTAAAATAAAAAAAAATATTGATCAGGTTATTAAAGAATACATGAAGTAATTATGTAACCTATCTTGTTTAAGAAAAATGTTTGTAGAATAGTAAGAAATAAAAAATGGAGTAATGGAAACAAAAGAAATTAAGAGGTTTTTTGTAATAAAGTGATGAACAAAATTAATAAACACTTACCTGCAAAGAAGATGGTCCAGATGTTTGTAATGATATGCAATGGTGATAGAAGTCTCAAAGTTTCCATGTCCCCTGCCTCTTCTGCATCTTGTTCGACCTTGATAAGAGCATCCACCATGTCACGGATCTCTCCTTCAACGTAAGTCTCCTTGTGCTCCTCGTAGAACCTGAGCAGCATGTTGTCCCTCTTGTCCCTGGCATCTGACAAGTCCTTCATCCAGGGGTTAGGGTACCTCTGAAGCCAAGGGATCAGGTTGACAGGGTGGACGGGAGACACGCCCTTCATGATGCGGGAAGAGTAATCGAAGATCTCGTGGAGTTCCGTATCTCCCTTCTGGTAGCGTTTCCCAAAGGCGATGTTGTGCAGGATGTTGAGGGACACCAGGTTGAGGTCTTCCCGAGGGTTGAAGGCATCGCCATTGTAGGAGTCAAACTGGTTGATGAGATCCATTGCTTCCTCGACCAGCTTGTCGCCCAGGCTGGTGTAGGTGACCGCCTGGAAGGCATGCTTCATCAGCTTGGTGTGAATGCGGAAGTCGTGCTTCTTCTGGCAGGCCATGAATCCCTTGCTGACGAAGAACTCAATTGAAAAGACACTCGGGCGATTGGTGAAGTTGGGACCGTTGTAGGCGGTCTTGACGGTCTGAGCGTCGTTGAGGACTACCACGCGCTGACGGCCCAGCTTCATGCTGAAGACATTGCCGAATTTTGCAGCCATGTCTGTGAGGGAGAGATGCAGTGCTTTTGATTTGAGTTGCAAGACATTGCCGATGAATGGAAGAGACGTGGGACCTAAAGGAACCTTGTCGACGTTGAACTCCATCCACTCTTGGCAGTAGTAGACGATGATGCTGACAACTATCATCAGGGGAATGAGAATAGGGGCCATGCTGCCATGAGGTGCGGAAACTGGCTGTAGAGCTGTTGTCTTAATACTGAGCCTGTACCAAAAAGTGGAAAGAGAGAAATAAAAATTAATACTTAATCATATAATTGGTTAAGATTTTAAATAATTTGAATAAGAATGTGCTTAAAATAAAAAGATTAACTATTTTAATACTCACCAAAGGGGTTTTGATGCGAACAAATAATTTGGAGACATGAGTATCACAATAGTTCATAGTGTCTCCCTAAGTTTCAAGTCACAGAAATACACCACCCAGATTCCAGAAAAAATTTACAAATGATCCTTTGACAATATGCTCCTGCATTATATATATTCCTTGCAAGAGAGAGAGAGAAGTGCATTTACACCAGACACGTGAAACTGATGATTTTTTTTGTCGAACGTTTTCCCCCTCATCAAACTCCAGACATTTTCAACTTTGACCCGCGTGGACAAAGTCTTGCTGATGCCATTTTCTCCCGAACATAATCCCTTGCAGCTCAGTGCCAAACAATCTGAAGCTGATTAAAAATGCATCTCTTTCCAAGTGAAAGGTAATCATGTGCACTTTAATTTGAGAAGCAGGATATTCAGTCAGGCTGAATGAAAATCCCTATGATCTGGTATCCTCAATTCCAACAGAGAAACAGGGAAATAATAAAGAGAGAGGCTTTGGTAGTCGTGCATCTGCTTTGTGAGAATACCCTGGCCTTCACTCGCCTGCTGTCTATGCTTTATGGGAAAGCTAAAGCTGATCATTTGTTTTTTGTTGTGCCTTTTATTCATCCATTCAACAAAATCTTCTCCAGGTTGTATATAAATCTAGATGTATAGTTTTACCTGTAATGCGAACTTGACATTCCAACCCCGACAGCTATCCCTCCCCCATTCCTACAGTGGGGTAATTTAGTGTCTTTAACAGCCCCGACTGTCAATCAGCCTTCCTCATCGCCTGATTGGTCCAAAGCCTACCCTACAAGGACGCCCACTTTCATTCATTATTTCCAGCAAGGTCAAAGAACATTAGGAGCAAGCTGATTGGCTGGGGTTGTATCCCCGCCCACTTTATCTGTGTGTTGAACACACAGTGGATAACCTATTGAGTGTATGCATGTGTATGAGTGAAAGTGGAGGTATTAGCTCCGCCTGTGTTTCCTGAATTTGGCATTGAAAGTGTCCATGGAAGGTGCTTTTGGATTGAAGCCAGCAGCTCTGTTTCTATCAGTAGTAAAACATGACAGGTATGCTAAGCTGCTAACATTGGCTGTCAGCCTAGTCATATGAATTATTAATTCTTGCTGTCTCGCTTTCAATGAAGATGGGATTATTTTGCCCATTTCAGGAGATGTAGCATATTATTTTCAGAGTCTAACTGTCTAGATCAAATACCAATTGAATTACATTAAATGTTTGTTATATGTTTAAAATTTGATGAAGCTTTATACAAGTAATCTAAAACTAAAGCATGATATGAGATGGCCTTCTTGCCACAGCAAACTTTGAATTTTTCATCTTGCATTTCATATTTGCAGTACATTTGTATTTTTTATTCATTCATCTAAAGTGCATTATAATATCCTGTGTTGACAGACATCAAGGAATTTAAAAGAAAACAACACAATCTGCCCTTTCCCTCACCTTTCTTTAAAAAAAAGTATAGTTTCCGATCGGTAAGCTTTTGGAAACTATGAAAATATCTTTTGGGGACACGGAAACTGATCACTTCCAAACCGTTTAATTTTCAGGGGAAGGGAGCCACCAGACTATAAAAAGATCTTGTTATGAAATTGAATATTCCCCGAGAGGAAGGTCCGTGGGGCCAAAAATTATCTGTGCCCTAAAATAGTTTGATTTTATTCTAACTATTGCATTTGTTTCGGTTGGTCAGTGCCGATAATAGATTTTGGTGGTTTGTCATTGTTTTGACTGAATTCCGGAGGCCAAGTTCATATCCCCTGGTTATTATGGCTGACCTTGGCTTTGCTGACCGTGGCTTGCAAATTGTTTCCAGATTTTTTTGAGGGATTTCCCCTTCTTAAGACTTCTCATTTGATATTAGAATCAAAACATTGTTCCAATTGAATATGTTAAAATGATATTAAATTTTATGTCAAGTAGAATACTGGAATCCAAATGAATAAAAGAAACACAGATACTTATTTTTTTTATTTAGAGCTACATTAACATTCTGATATTTGTTTTACTGTATGCAATACTTTTGCACTAGTCCCACTCAGACATATATCTGAGAATATTTCATGTATTTGCATGCCCCATCTTCTTTGAAAGATTTTACTACAATTTCTTAAAGTGAAAAAAAAACTAAAAGTTCTATAAAAGTTTTGCATGTAATTAAAGATGTCGTAGGAATGAGGTCTATTGGTAAGTTTTTTTCTTGTCCCAAACGATTATCCTTTCCACCTGTCCATGTCTCTCTTTCTCTCTCCCTGGGTCACACGCAATCTACAACTTCCACCCAAACCCCCCCAGGGGCTAAACTTGACCACTGGTCAGTCAGAGAAGGAGAGAAAGTGACCGTGACGTCATAATTGGCGACATTGAACTCCGGAGGCGCGAGTCTATACCAGTGTCCAGCCCTGGCTAGGGCCAGTCAAAACAATTTACATAACCATTTGGCCTGGCGATTTATGACCCCTCGGTGTGGCCAATTGCCAAACGGACGGATCCGGCCAAGTTCAATGATCAAATCAGACTTCCTTTTGTGTTGATTACTTGGACTATATAATAGTGACCTCTGTGAGTCAAGGAAGTTCCTTTGATTGACATAAAAACTGAATGAATTTTGATGAAGTGTGTGTAGAAATCTTTGACACTTCATTTTAGAAGTGTTTGAATTATAAAGTTTCTATTATGTTTGCTTGCAACAGTTTTTTTTCTTTTTGAAATTTAATTTGAAAAACAAAACAATTAAATTAATGATAATACAAAAGTAGTAATACTTTCATGCAAAGTCATAAAAAACAACTTTTAAAAATATGATCATTGAATATTTTTTTAAAGTGTACAGGATGTATGTAAAGTTATGAATATTTTTCTTAGAAAATATATATACAACTTTGATAAATAAGTATAATTAATGAATAATGATTTAAGAAAAAGTTGTTTAATATTTTAAGTAATAAAATATTAGTAAAAATAAGACAAACAACTCTTATGCAATTCTTAATCAAATCTGTTCACTAAATTTAACAATAACCTGTAACAAAAATAAAACGTTTACATCAAATATAATGCAATTAATAATAGTATGCACTTAAAAAAAATATTTTGTGGGAAGAATTAAAATGTCAAGACATTTCAAAATGCAGGAATATATGATTTAGTTTAGAATAATTCAAAAAAAATTAATTAAAAGTTTAAACCACTTACATGTCATAGAGATTGAGTGTGAAGTTCTCGAAGCTGTGTCCGTAAGGAAGAATAACGGATGTCGGATGAAGCAGCAGAAGTTGAGATGCAGAATCCATCCTTGATTGATAGTGAAATTGTTCTTTAAAGTTAAAGTTGATTGGTATAGTATCCCAAAACTGAATGAAGTCTCCACCACTTTCTCAAACTCTTTTATATCTTTTTTTACTCCCAAACCTTTTTTCTTTTTCCTGTCATGCTAACTATTTAGCACACGTGCCACCAGAGATGTCCTCCAAAACATACGAGCAACACCTCGGTGGGAGGGGCTTAAAATTAGGTGATAACAAAAAGTTGTTCTCATTTGCAACTGTTGCCTCTCTGCGTCTCTCTCACTGCCTCTCTCCATCTCTCTTCCTCTCTGTCCAACTCCCTCCCTCTCTATCTCTCTTAATCCTTACTTCCAGTTTTGATAATCTAGTTTGTTATCTATAAAGGGAGGAAGTCGTGTGGAAGTAGGCTGAGCATGTGTTGCGTTGGATTTTTTTGTGATCCCCTTGGAGGAACGTTAACCTAGAACGTTGCTCAACGGCTGGCTGGTGTTACAGGTGTTGGGAGTCACTCCTGTCAGTGTCACTGGCTGGCAGGGGAGAGACTGAGGAAAGCAGTGGGGTCCATGGTGTGCGACTAGTGGAAGAAAGGGAAAAAAAAAGTGAAATTATTACGATTATCGAGATGGAGATTTTTTAAGAGGGATGATGTAGCACCCAAACAATAACAGATGCGCATTTATAATAATAATAATCTTTTAAAGTCCACTCCAAATTTTATTAAGTTAAACCGAAAATGGAAAATTCTTTTTACCCAATTGATCGTGAGCCCGGCAGCCACTGAGCAGCGTTGCTCTATCCCTTATTGTTGAATGCCAATAACTGTTGATGAACAAAGACTGAGAGCATTGATATTAGGGATTTAAAAAACAGATAGGTGTGAGTGGTGTAAAAACGTTGAGTCGACACTCTTATAGTAGAGTTAGAATATTGCATGATCAAAGATAAATTTATGATTTGTATTGATTGTAATTTTAATAGATCTATACCCTTTTAAAAGCAGACAATCTTGTACAATATTCAGTGTACTTGCTGGGTTCATTTGCCAAGCTCTAGAACATGACTATAACATTCCTAGGGAAATAGAAATATTTCTATGGTTGTTTTTTATTCCAAAGTGACATAGTATTTGAAGCCAGGGTGGGCCCTTGTGTGAGGTTAGACTAGCAGCAACATACACCAGGATGGCAATTAAACCAATGCTGATATGAGTCACTGATTTTTTATCATTTTTAAAAGAAAAATTTGCTTCCCCTCAGGTTTATAAAGCTATAGGAAAATATTAGAAATCCATCGTGTAGATGTGACAAGATTTGCATGTAAATAGACAAATGAGACAATTACATTGATTTCAAAATGAGACAGCCGATACACCTGTTCATGGGTATTCAAGCAGCAGTTAAATGAAAGTCTAATATAAAGCTTTATATTGATTTGATATTATGAAATAAAACTTAACCAGGAATGAAGGGGCAATGGAGGGGAATATGACGCAATTATTTTTTTAATGGGTCAATTGATTTTCTCACATCTGTGCATCAAAATTACCAGTAATTTGAGTGAATATTTGCAGAGTGAAAAATTATTGATTTTCATGATGGAATATGATATAACAAGTATTTTCCATGTGAAAACAAATAAATCAAAAACTGCATAAATATTAGGGCAGAATTTTAATAATTTTTAAAAGAAAAAAGTGAATATTTGCGGAGTGAAAATTATTAATTTTCATGATGGAATTTGATATATAACAGGTATTTTCCATTTGAAAAAAATAAATCAAAAACTGCATAAATTTTAGGGCAGATTAAAAAAAAAAAGTGAATGAAATTCTAATTTTGCATACAATACATGGATCACAGTCAATAGGCTCTGTAATACAGCTTCTCCTGTCAATGGTTCCAGTCGCTCAAGACAATAATTATCACATTAAATGTCAAATACAGACTTCTTGCAGACTAGCCTAAAGTTAGCCTAGCATAGATGCTAGATTAGACCCACCTGTGGGTACGATGAACTTGGGGTCTGGGATTCTGTCTGGCCCAGCAGAGGGTATTACAGTGGCCTGTCAACGTGGCAGGCAGGGAGGCAGGCAGGCCGGCCGGCACTCTGTAGGCTTTCTCTCACTTACTCCAGACCAGAACGTTTGACCATCAGGACAATTAGTGACGTCACTTGATGATGTGACCGGTGGTTAAATGAGCTAATACATCTTGAGGGTTATAGTAAGGCTCATTTACACCTGGAAAAAACCCAAGTTGAAAAACATTGTTTTTTTGTAACTACCATTTTAGAAGGTAGTGGAAAAACAATCGTAAAACGTTTTAAGTTTGCTTGGCGGAACGCTTGACGTCACATGATGATGTGACCGGTAGTTAAATGAGCTAATACATCTTGAGGGTTACAATAAGGCTCATTTACACCGGAAAAAACCAAATTTTTAGACGGTAGTGGAAAAACGTTCATTAAAATGTCAAAGTTTGCTTGCCATTATTAAAAGCATTCAGGTTTTGTTTGGTGAGTATTGGGCATGCGTGACTTGTCGCTGTGCCTGCGATATAGCATGGAAATGAAAATATATTTTCTTTACCCCTCCCTACTGTGTTGGGAAAGTCAACATGAATTTATGAATGAAAACGTCTCTCTTCCTCTCTCTCTCTTCCTCTCTCTCTCTCTTTCTCTCTCTCTTCTCACATCCCCTCTCTCTTAAAAAAAAACAACTTTCTCTCTCCTGCACTCCATCCACTCTCTCTCTGTCTTCCCATTTCTCTTCCAGTTTTGTTTGTGGTATAATCCCCGGACGTCCTTTCATAGTGACAAGGCCATTTTAGTACAGGATCTAGTAGAGGTTATATTGATAGGGTGCTTTAAAGGGCTATGGACATTTTCCAAGCTCTTTACAGGCTATCGGTCATTGGCAGAAGATACAAGCTACAGTATTTCTCAATATCACAACTTTATTAAAGAAAAAACACCAAGTAAGGATTTTGTGATTTCATTTCACAATCTTAAATATCTTGATATGTAAATGAATTGTGCTTAATTAATAGCTTCAAAAAATTGTTATAATAATAATAATACTAAGTTTTTATATAGCGCTTATTATAATCACTAAGCGCTTCCAAACTTGGAGATTATTGCCCCAGCTTTAGCTGTGCTGCCTATCTATAATGGTAGATTTCCAACTTTGAATATGATAGTTATTAATTTGGTAAATACAATTTAATATTGGAATCGTAACCAGCTTCCATTAATTAGGCATATTCTAAATTTAGCAGACCAAAATGAGTAGAAGAAGAACATATGTAGACTACATGAATGTGAAATATATGTGTGTGTAGGGGGGGGGGGGGTTCTAAATGGTGGGAAGGGGGTGTGAGATGGAAAGAGTTTCAATAGAGGGGTGGGGCTATTCCTTTAAACTTTAGATACAGGTGTATTGTATTATATAGTAGTTCTATTCTTAAAGGGTGTTAATTGCCCCTTTGAGTTGAATAACAGAATATGTTGCCTAATAAATACATGATGACATTGAGACATCATAAAAGGGTTTATAGAATGTGCTCTTGACTATTAAAAATAGTTGGGGGCAAGGACTTTTCAATAACTCCTCAGTCATAAACACCTGCTTTTTCTTTTTCATATTCTTAGAGATTGGAATGAGTCTGGAGTAAGAACTACTTATTTCATCTGCTCCAATTTTTGTATTCAAATTTGCATTGATTTTTTTTTACTAAAGTAACATTTGAAGCTGACATTTGGACTTTCCGACTAGTATGCAGGCATACATGTACATGTATATCCCATAGCAATAGATATTTTGGTTTCAAAAGAGTCATCTTTTTCACATCATACATGTACCTTTAATATGCTGTCTCGTTTTGACATTGATTGAAAGTACAAACACATATTCTCTCCTCTCTCTCTCTCTCTCTCTCTCTCTCTCTCTTTGTCTTTCCCTCTTTCCCTCTCTTCCCATTCATGGTTGATACAGGATGTCGATATATTTTTTGTAGGGACAGTGACCGTGACGGCAATTAGTGACGTCACGTGAGACTTTCCACACGTGCTGTGCCTCTTAGGACATGCTCTGTAATGTGATGACAACTTTTGAAGTGTCCAATGTCAAGAGAATTTTTTCATCTGTTCTGTTCTATCATTTTTTATCCGATTGTGCATGTATATAAATGAGTTGTAGGGCTTACATTATTTCACTGTAAAAATACTTTTCATCTGTGGTATGGTGTACTTATTTGCAGTGATCTTGCCTTGTTTCTATCTTTTAAAAGTCCATTAAGACCATATGTATCTTGGTAAGATAAGATACAATGTAAGATGCATGGTAAGTACATTTTCTGAAGTTATATTTTCATCTACTTATTGCTTAAATGTCAACTTTATTAATGCTCTTCTAGTGACCACTTACTTTGGTTCAAATGATCCCCCAAATATCCACAGATCTTTAACACATGGAGACGTCCCACTTTGTGTATTTTCGAGTAAAGTGATGAAGTTCATGAATCCATTTTGTTGGCGCTCCTGGGGAGAATACCTCCACCTGTGTATCAGTGACTATGAATAAATGAAAAATTATTTCATAACTTTAATTAGCACGAAATCCAGAACTCGTCTTGATGGGTTTTACTATTTTGGTTATCTGTCCATGCGCAGATTGTATATATGAACTGGCTTATATTCTTTGGGGGGAAGAGGTGGATCTCACACAATTGTAAATCAGTCTGGCTGTTGAAGTCTGCCCAGTGATAAAAGTGTAAGAGTTAAAATTAGACTCATTCCCGACTTGTATTTGTTTCTCTAGTCTCTTCTCCCATACATATTCATTTCGCATCATTTGCATATTCATTTCATCCATTCATCTCCACCACATACCAACTCTTAAAGCTTGAACAGGTGGTATGTTCTCTTCTCATTTAAATATTTCGACTTCTTACTTATCAATGGTTCTCTTCTCCTTTTTCTTATGAATATTATAAAGTGGCACTGCAAGA